TATACTATTAAAACAGAAACAAAATTAAAAAACTTAATAAAAATTAGATGGTTATCAATATAAACAAACATTTAGTCTTAAAATATTATGACTCTCATAACAGGCAAAAATTTCATTAGTAAATATTTAATTTAGTGATAATAAGAAAGTTATTAATTTTTTGGGTTTATCTCTAATCGTTCCATCTGTTATCTGCATTATCGATTTATGGGTAATATGAAAATAGAACTGACATTATTCGATAAAGTGCTACTTGTACGTACTTGACAGGCTATCTTCAAATTTATTTATCACTTTATTTTCAATATAAATAGTATTTTTAGTATTTTCTCGAAGATAATTCAAAGTCTTTGCTGTGAAAATAAATAAAAGTATTTAGGTATTTTTGTAAATTATACAGTTGGGGTGAAACCTTTGGTATTACAACAGCAAAATAAAACACTAATCTTATATAGTATCTTTGTGACTGCTGCATAACTTTGGTACATTCCTAATATATGTATATTTCCTCATTGTGGAATGTAATGTTCGTCATTTTTAAAAATAAAGTTATCTCTACTACATGCTATTAAAGGGTAACTAAAATACGAGTTAATAATCTAGGGTTGCCAACGGTCCTCTATTCCAGAGGACAGTCCTCTTTTTGGTCGTACTGTCCTATTTTCTCTCCCGTATTGAAAAAGTCCTCTTTTTTACACACCCAACTCAAAATATAGAAAATATTCACTTATCGCCAAAATTCTTAATATAATTGATAATTTGGAAACAATGCAGAAAAGCAATATTTACGTACAAGAAATACAATATGATCGAAAAAAAACGGCATCAACGATGGCTGTGAAATAAAGATCGCTGTCGTTTTATATGTAAAATCGAGTGTAAAATTATACGGGGAATGTCATCCATGCGATGTTCATTTTCCAGCCAACTGGACGTCATCAGATGGTATTACGCCTGCGGCGCTTTTTTACCCTATAGTCCCCTATTTTTTTTATTTTTTGAAAGTTGGCAACCCTAATATAACCCAATCTGGCCATCCTGCATTGAACACTGCATGTTTATTAACATTTCAAAAAGTCAACTACAAATCTAGAATCGAAATATAGAAGAATATATGTATTTAACAGAACTGTAAAATTCTATGAAAAACTAGTTAGTACCTAAATCTTAAAACACTATTTCTTCCGCATATTTTGCGTAAAAAACTTTTTTTAAATGACACTGGAAGAAAAATATATTATTTGCTTCTAGACAAAATTGTATCACTGCGGGCCAATTTTGTACTGTCAAAAAGCTGCCCTATGATTTTTAGGGTTCCGTACCCAAAGGGTAAAACGGGAACCCTATTACTAAAGACTTCGCTGTCCGTCCATCCGTCCGTCCTTCCGTCTGTCACAAAGGTCTATCTTATGAACCGTTATAGCTAGACAGTTGAAATGTTTACAGATAATGTATCTATGTTGCCGCTATAAGAAAAAATACTAAAAACAGAATTAAATAAATGTTTATAAATAAAAAAGTACTTTCACTAAACATTATCTTTTAAGTAAGAATTTTACATAGAATCTTTCAAGTCCTCGGTGGCCGCGTTGTTAAAGCGTTAGGACTTTCGCTGCTATATATGACGTTGGAGCCGTATATAGTAAGTCAGGTTCGAATCCTAGTCAAGGCGACTTTTTTTAATCGTTTTTTTTAATTTTTACATATTTATTTTTACTTTTTACATATTTATTATTGATTAATGCAATTTTTAATAATGTGTTTCTTCATTTTTTTTAAATTACTTATACGCGCATTCAAATTTCAGCTAAATCGGAAAAAAAGTTTATAATAATGTGTCTAATGTTGTAGGTATAGATAATGAATGGTACGGAACCCTTCGTGCACATGACCAATTTTTTTTAGTATGTGTCCTAGCCTGAATATCATTTTGTACTAAAATTGGACATGTTGAAGTGTTCTTTTTAAAGCAGTTATTTAGTCTATTGTATGTGTGAATTTTAATTATTAAGACTAGTGCTAAGCAAATGTACAGGGTGGGTCAAATTCGACGCTTTTAAATGGAAACACCCTTTTCTATAGGAGATAGACAAAAACTAATATCGGTGTCTGCAGCCCAATTTTTGTCAAAAACATGATGGTGAAAACCGCATATCGATATCTGTTACCGTTTCGGAGTTACGGGGTGTTTTCAAAAATATGCATTTTTAACAAATCACTGTAACTTTTTTGCTATGAAAAATTTTGTATTTTTATGAAAACATTTCCAAAGCACCTTTTTACGTAGAATTTAATGGTTTAAGTATAATATTTTTTAAATTAATAATTTAAGAATTATCAACAGAAAATTTGATTTTTTATATGGGAGACCCTGTATATTTTTAATTTATTGAAAAGGATTTAAAATTACCTTTCCAAAAATATAACACACTTGATATTTTGCTCCATTCCTCTTCGAGATATAGAGTATATAAAAATTCGCCCGCTTTAAATAAGCAGGCTTTGAATGGCACCGGCTGTAATGCAAAAAAATTCTAGCTGTGAGCATCAATTAAAACGAAAATAATATTTGCTATGAGAGATGCAGAATTTTATAACAATTTAAAATATATTTAACCAATATCAACACATTTAAACTATATCTAATAACAATAAAAATAAATAGCAAACCAAGACATGAGATTTTGCTACAGGTGTTCGACATATCGACCTTATATCTGTTATGGACAGACGGGGCAGTTTTTGAACATTTCTCGCGGAATTCATTAACTCAGTAGGGTATACCCTTTCATAACTGCTAAGTATTTTTAATTCTTGTCTAGATTATACGGAAGAATAAGGAACCTTTATTCGCAAATATATCCATAGGATTAGATCCATGGGCTCTAAGTCAGGCGGCCTGGACGGCCAACGGCTGGGATCTTGGTTAGCTATCCAATTATTCTTGAAATTGGCTGCAAAAATTTGCTAATAACTTCAGCGTTCAGAGGCGGTGCGTCGTCTTGCTGGAAAAATATATTTTCGAGTTCCATTAAAAGCATATCATCAATAAGGGGTCCAAAGCCTACTAATTAAAAGTGGCGAACTTTTGCGAAAATTCTGTATTTCGAAGGGGATTATAACAAAATATCAAGTGTGCTATATTTTTGAAAAGGTAATTTTAAATTCTTTTCAGTTAATTAAAAATATAGAGGATGTCCCAAATAAAAAATCAATTTTTCTGTTGATAACTCTTAAATTATTAATGTTAAAAACATTATCAAAATCAAAATCAAAATCATTTATTTAGACTGCACTTATAACAGAAAAATATTCCCATGACAACAGTACAGTAAAAATTATACTTAAACCAGTAAATTCTACGTAAAAAGGTGCTTTGGAAATGTTTTCATAGAAATACAATATTTTCCATAACAAAAAAGTTACAGCGATTTGTTAAAAATGCACATTTTTGAAAAACACCCCGTAACTCCGAAAGGGTAACAGATATTGATATGCGGTTTTCACCATCATATTTTTGATGAAAATTGAGCTCAGACACCGATATTAGTTTTCGTCTATCTCCTATAGAAAAAGGTGTTTCCATTTAAAAGCGTCGAATTTGACCCACCCTGTACACCTAATGTCAGTAATAGGATGTTTTTTAGAAAACAAACATATCCCGAAAATATCGGGGGACCGACTTAAGACGGAAGAGCGTCTTCAGAACTGCGGTCAGTTCTTCAGACGGTCTTCCGTTTTAACTGACAAGTAAAGCGTTAGGTACATCGAATTATACAGATCTGTATAATTTGTTATAAAATAAGTAAATATTTACACCTCAAATAAACGTATTATTCAAGAATATTATGATTTTCCATTTTGTAATTTTTAAATCAGAGGGCACGGCAGTGCCCCCGCCAAGTCGAGCACAGCCGAGTCATCCTATTCTCGAAGGTATTAGCGGCACTTTTTACCACCCTGTAACTTCATTGTGGATAAAGCAAGAACATTAATTTTCACTACACATGAAGATATACTATAGCTGGATTCTTCTTCTTCGGGTTCCATCTCCTAATGGAGGTTGGAAATCATCATGGCAATTCTAACTTTGTTAACGGCTGCTCTGAATAACTGGTTTGAAGTCATTCCTAACCATTCTCTCAAATTCTTGAACCATGATGTTCTTCTTCTTCTTCTTCCTTGGCTCCTTCTACCCTTTATCTTTCCTTCTATTATGTTCTGCAACAGGGCATATTTAGGTCCTCTCATTATGTATCCAAAGTACTTAAGTTTTCTCTTTTTAAGGATGTTAATCACCTCTTCGTCCTTCTGAATTCTGCGTCGCAGTTCTACATTTGTAACCTTGTCAGTCACGATAACACCATCTTTCGAATGCCTCAAGCTTCTCCATTTCGGTCTTTTTAAGTGTCCAAGCCTCTGAACCATACAGTAGAGTTGCAAATATGTAACCCCTTAGCATTCTTAATCTAAGCTTTAAGTTGATGTCTCCACTGCAGAGACATTTTTTGAGTTTTACAAAAGATGCTCTGGCTATTTCTATTCGAACTTTTATTTCTGCTGATTGATCCAAGTTTTCGGTCAACCAACTGCCTAGATATTTATATTTTTGTACTCTCTCCATAGGTCTATTAGAACATTGGCTTGGACTAGACATAGCTGGCTAGGGTACCACAATATCTGGTAATTATAGCTCATAGTTTATGAATTATCGCTCGTTAAATTTCTTTAATTTCGACATTGTCTCACTGACACATCAAAATTCTAAGGTACTTCTAGAAGAGTTACAAACTTCAAATTTCGAATTTTAGGTAGCTTTAAGCTTATAATAGAAGGAAAAAAAGAAAAATCTCGAAATATCCTTAAGGATTAAAAGTTAGCTGTCTAGCCGCTACCCGTAACTTACTTTCCAGTCGGAAAAAGGGAAGAAAACTAGAGCCAGGTAGAGAACTTTTGAACCAATGACATATTATTTAGGAAATTTTAAATAAAAATCCGACTTACAGAAGTAATCAAAAATGTTTATTTCTAATTGATGAATGAGGAGAAAAAGTGTAGAAAAAATGTTAATTTCTTGATATATGAAAGTCATGCTGTTTCTTTAATCTCTTCATGGAGGAGGTGGATGGTGTGGTCCACCATGTCCTGTAACAAAAAAGATAATACTTTAGCAAACATTCCACAAGTATATTTATTCGTATAACCGATAATAACATAGTAAATATTTAATTAGCGATAGCAAACAACATATACATTTTTGGTTTATCTGTTATCTACATTATTTCTGTCTAAGTTCCTACTATAAAAATAGAAATGACAATGTTTGATAATTGTACTTATGATTGTATGTACTTTATACGAAATTTTTTTACTACAGAGGGTGTCTCTGAAATAAGAGCAAACATTTTCCGGGAAAATTAAAAAAAAAATTTGGTGCCGCAGGTTTGTTATCTAACATAATCTAACATGATACATGGTGATACTAATATATATTTCTTTATTTTCGCCAACTAGATTATTAGAGCATAAAAGATTTTATGCTTTTAGGCTGATGTAACGAAAAACATTTTATATAAGTCAGCTATGGAAAAATATTTTTTTTTTCTCAAAAAAATATGAATAGTGGCGTTTTTTACAAGAGTCAAAGTAAATTATAGAGGGACCATTTTACAAAAATAAAATCGACCTTCGGTGGAGTCGGAAAATATTTATATTAAAATTTATGTAGGGTTGGGAGTGGTTTTGATCCTTCCCGTATAGCCGTCCATACTAAAATATGTTAATAAAAAGTTGGTAGGCAGTTCTTTTAGTTTCAAAGTAAAGGAATTTTTCCAATTTTTTTTTTATCTCAAAAACTGCGACTTTGACTGATTTTGATGTTATTACAAATTTTGTTGCAAATATTATTCCTAATCTTAAACTGAAAACCGCGTTTCGCTAGCTACTGTAATTTTGCGGTATTTGAGTTATCGTATTACAGACAGACGGACAGACAGACAGGCAGACAGACAGACACCATGAAAATATTTTGTATTTAAGTCATTTATGACCCAAATAACTCATTTTGAGTAAAATTATTTTTTTTGCCGATCTTAATAGCCTACATAAAAAAATACCTCAGCAAAAATCCAGTCAAAATATTTTTTTTTATTTTCAAAGTAAAATAATTATTCAACTATTTTGGGCTTATTTAAAAAGGTAAAGAGAAAATATATTTCTCTTATGAGAGCCCTAAAAATTTTTGAACTTATTTTAGACTCACACTCAAAAATGGCAAACCGAAAATATAAAATAATAATTTTTCCAGAGCTACCATTGCATAAAAAAAGTTGTACTTATTTTAGACTCACACTCAAAAATGGCAAATTAGAATATAGTTATTATAATTATTTGAGAGCTACCATTGCATAAAAAAAGTTGTACTTGCCAAAAATATCAAATATAATAAAGCAAGCTAATGTAGTCTTTTGGATACGATTATTTATTTTTTGCATGAAAAACTTCAGAATTATATCACGTGCATTTTTAGAGATGACGGTAAAGCTAAAATATTAAAAGGAACGACAAAAAAATATACTTTTTATTTAAAATTTTTCAACTAATTCAAAAATACCTAATTTATGTTTAAGCATTTTAAAAAATTGTACACCTCTTGAGATATTCAAAATTACGTCTTTATTATTTCTTTAAAAAAATCTGCAGTAGTGTTTTAGTTATTTATAAGCTTTATTCAGAACCTCGAAAGTAGTGAAATAAATTAGTATTTTCAATAATTATCCTTTAAAGTAAAAACAATCATCGGATTTAGGGGTTTCTCACAAGACACTCTCTCCTCAACGAACACTTCAGTAGGCTGAAGCTATCAAACAACGGCGAATGCAGATTCTGTGGGGAAAATGGGGAAACAGCAGAAAACCTTATCACTGAGTGCGTCTAGACGACAACCGTTCGTGTCATGAACTTTGGTACGGCTGATGTCGAGGATGGAGAGCTGTGTGGAGCCGTCTCAGATACTGCCTTTTGTTAAAGCTCTGGGACTGTTATAACTCGATATAACTCAAGAAAGGAGAACATACAATAGATCTGTAAAGTCGCGGTGATTATCTCCCCTCCTAAACTTTCTACATTCTACAATTAGGCTTCGTTCAGAACCTCCCAATTAGTGGAATAAATTAGTGGTTTCAATTACACTTTATACTTTTTAGTTTACAATCATTCACAATGTCTAAAAAAACACAATTAAAATTAATAAAATATCCTAGCAACAGCTTGCGGTAGTCTGTTGTATCCATAGAGAAAGCATACTATTTAGCTCTTTGAATTTAGCTTATAAAACAATAAACTTTTGACTTTTTCTAACCAAAATTTTTCTTGGTGGATGATAATCAATGGCCAAAATGACATTCCTCGCAAATTTTGAAGTATAATTAGTGGAAAAGTCAAAAGTTTGTTAACTTTTTCGACTAATTGAAAATTACTACCCTTAATTATTACGTTCTGAATGCTTACATTAAAAATAGGTCACCAAACTTCTACGCTAACTGAAACCACTAATTTATTCCATTAATTGAAATTGGGAGGTTCTGAATGAAGCTTTATCCTTTATAATTATTAGTTTACGATTATTCGCAATGTCTAAAAGATTAACTAAAAGAACAATTAAAATTGATAAAATATCCTAGCAATATTTTGCGGTCACAGCAAACTCCTTATTTTTAACCACTCTTTCTGTCTCTTTGCGGATGATTATCAGGAGCCAAAATAACATTCCTCGAAATATTTTAAGTATAATTGGTAGAAGTTCTACTAATTGAAAATTACTATCAATATATATATATATATATAATATATATATATATATATATATATATATATATATATATATATATATATATATATATATATATATATATATATATATATATATATATATATATATATATATATATATATATATATATATATATATATATATATATACATTGTAGTTAGAGGCAAACCAACTTCTACGCTTATTGAAATATGAAACCACTAATTTATTTCATTAATTTAGGGGTTCTGTATAGAGGTTTACAGTTTATTTCTACTTAAATTAAAAAAAAAGTGTTTGTTTTTATCCTATAATTTTAATATGAATAAGTTGCTCGTATTGACTGCAATAATATTTCAGCAATAACCGTTAATATAATAATAGAAGACGAAATAATAAGAACAAATACTCGTAGATATACCATAATAAACTTTTTATAAATAAATAATAGCAATTGTTTACCTGGTGGTCCGTGTGGGCCAGGTGGGCCTCCATGGGGCCCACCAGGGGGACCGCCATGTGGTCCGCCATGTGGTCCGCCGTGAGGGCCGCCGTGTGGTGGGCCGTGTGGGTCGTGAGGTGGTGGTGGAGGAGCCATTTTGGAATAAGTCAACAGGCTGTGCAGGCTTGCTATATATTGGGCTCGTTTCACTGATCTCTGATAAGATAATCTCGTTCGCTTGTTGTTAATTCGTCTCGAATTCGTTTTAGGAATATTTACTAAAGGAGTCATCTTTTTGTTATCGGTACTGTATACAGGATGTTAGTAATAATTGTTGACGACGGGTTTGTCCAAGGCTTGTGCAAAGTTAAATACGAACAAAGTTTAACATATAAGTTTGCATTGCCTTATAGAATACATATTCGAATAGTCATTTTTATTCTCCAAAATCTAACATCCTAAATGGTAACAGAAACAAAAAACTATATTTTATTAGAATAATTATTTTTAAATTAATTATTGTTAATGAAATGACGTCTTTTGTGCATTTTTTCAGTAATATTCATCACAATATTATGTCTGCATATTTTTATAAAAAAATCCTTCGTTTTGCTTGTTTAGTTTTTGTTAACGATTATTTCAGGTATTTTGGTGATTGTAAAACCGGGTAGTCTTATTTTTGCTTTATAGTTTTATATTTATTTTTTATTGCATTTTACTTGGGTCTAGTATAGTCTATTCAACAACTAAGAGAATATTTCGACAGACGACATCCAAAAAATGACAGAAACTAAAACTTACTTGTGAATTAAAATAACAGACACAACTGTCACTGTCACGAATCTTAATGTTGGATAGGCTATGCTGTACTCGAACAAAATGGACTATATTTTCTTAATACTAGGGTTGTCCTTACATGTTTGCCGATTTACCGGGTAAAATTTACTAATAACGAGGTAAACTGTTACCGGCAAATACCGTATTCCTGTACCGGGTTTTTCGATGATCATTATAAAAATAAATATACATAAGCCAAATAAGAGAAACTCTCAGGCAAGCACGAAAAATCACCTACACTGGTATTACCCATTGAAATAGATCGATTATAATATTTTTCCACAACGATATTACATTATTTATCTTCATTTTTCTTTTCATCATTCATAATTTTTATTACTAGAATAGAAGAAATACCTCTTTATAACCGATATGATGAGCTAAACAGTCTGGGCACTACTTTAAGTATTGAATTGAAAAAGAAAAACAAAAACAATTTCCTCCAATGTTCTTCAATACCTAATAAGGCTCAACTTTCGTTTAGCTGAAATCAGTTACGTGAGGAATATTTGTTTATGTAGCATTTGGAAGCCTTTTCGAATAGTATGTCAGAAAATTTTTCGTTTGAATGCCTATTTCCTCCCAATGAATCACAAACGGGCTTTCGCATCAACTGCGGTATCCCGTTGGTTCCATATTCTCCATCCGCCAACTACAGGAAAAAGCAAAGGAGCAGCATAGTAAACTTTATGTTGCATTCATCGACCTAACAAAAGCCTTCGACTCTGTAAACAGAGATGCACTTTGGGCTATTAAATTTAATCCCCACCATGTTATATGGAAGAGAAACCTGAGTGCCGTACCGTCGACATACGAACGCATTAAACAAGTTGCAGTAGAGACACCTTAGATAGACAACTGTTAAGAATCAAATGGTACCACCATGTCTCAAACATATCGGTCCTTGAAAAAGGGGTCGGTCAAGTTTGCCCCCCGCACCAGAGGAAATTCAAAAATAGATATACCATTATTTTGCACACATTTTGCACAATTTTGCACACCATAAATGATATTTTGCACACTTACCTAAGAGAAACCAGAGCAGTTTTTTTAAACGGGGGGCAACTTGACCGTTCCCGCCCATTTGTTACGAAATTTATTTATTTCTATGTACATCGATTGGCTAATTTTGCACAATTTTGCACACCTATTTTTAAATTTTGCACACCCTTCTGGCGAAAGTTATAAAACTTGATAAAAAATTTGACATTTTCCACCCATCTGTGACTAAATTGAATTTTGTTTATATCAAACGAATCAGATAATTTTGCACAATTTTGCACACCTGTTTTTGAATTTTGCACACCATCCCGATTAAAGTTATGAGGGATTGAAAATATGCAATTTCCTTCCCATCAGCTACGAAGTTGAATTTTGTTTATATCAAACGAATCGGCTAATTTTGCACAATTTTGTACAGCTATTTTCGAATTTTGCACACTTTTCTAATAAAAGTTTAAGGGTTTGAATATTTGAAATTTGTTCCATTGTGTGTGAATTGTCCCATTAAAAAAAAACATCATTATGAGTCATATTTGAAAATGATAGATCTCAGCGACGTGGAGAACTGTACGGAACCCAACCTTCACCTTTTCGATAACTTAGAGGATAGATAACCCAGATATATACAGGGTTGATCACCACATACGACACGGAGTATTGTAGCTAAACAATTAGATTTTTACAAATTGTAAGTTTTGGATTCGTTGAAGGACTATTAGAGCTACAATTTAAAAATATTTTTACAAGATACAGAGTGCCCCAAATAGATAAAAAATATCAAAGTTGTATTTTTTTAAATGGAACACCCTGTATATTATTGCAGTTTTAGTTTCTACGATTAAAATAAAGGCAAATTTGATTAAGGTTTATTACACTTAAACCTTTACTGTTTTTTGAAGATATTTCAATTTTGTGAGAAATTGCAATATAAATTTTAAGGCTTCATTTCTCCGAGGTTATCAAAGTTTTTAATACTAAATATTTATTGAAGTTTATTTATTAATCAGTTATTGTGTTGCAATAATAAAAATTATACTACCTTATACAGAGTGTCTAAAAATTTATTTTAAATTATTACTAGCTTTAAACGGCAATAACTTGTTTAATCTAAATGAAACGCCCTGTATATTTTATAAAAATCAGATGCACAATTTAATTGTCTATCAAATTGTATTATACCACTTTTTACCTATCCCTTCAAGTTTTCGTAGAAAATGCATTTTCTTATAATTTAGACCTCATTTATCAATATACCCATGGAATGTTGACATTTTAGATTGTTTTTAAAACAACAATGTAGTTAGTTAGTAATATTATCGTTTTTATTAAAACGATCATATTACTAGGCCATTTGTATGCAAAAAGAAAACTATTTAAATCTTTATAAAAGAGTATACCATTAATTAAATATACCACCAGTATTTCCACCCAAATACTAATTAACTACATACTTAATTGTGTTCGTTAATAAATTATTCTAAATAAAGGTGGATTTGAATCAGAAATCAATATAATAATAAGTTATGAAAATGAACGTCTCTGTTGTTATAAATAAGCATGTGTCAAAAAATTAAATATCATTTTTAAAGTGTTACTTTTTACCACACTGTCTAATACACATATATAATTCAGTTTTTTAGTATTTGGAGCAATTATTATTAATCAACGCAAACAGTCAATTACTGTAGTTTGAATACTGAAATCATATTAATTGGTCCTCTTTAACAAATATTTAAACAGTTTTTTTTTATTTTTTAATGAAATAAACGAACTATATCGACAATATTAGTATCTGTACTCTTTAGAAATTTGGTATATCTTTAAAAATAATCTAAAATGTCAGTATTCCATGGGTATATTGATAAATGAGTTCTAAATTACAAGAAAATGATTTTTTTACGGAAACTTGAAGAGATAGGTAATAAATGGTTTAATACAATTTGATAGACAATTAAATTGTGCATCTGATTCTCATAAAATATACAGGGTGTTCCATTTAAATTAAACAAGTTATTGCCGTTTAAAGTTAATAATTATTTAAAATAAATATTTAGACACTCTGTATAAGGTAGTAAAATTTTTATTATTGCAACACAATAACTGATCAATAAATAAATTTCAGTAAATATTTAGTATTAAAAACTTTGATACCCTCGGAGAAATCAAGTCTTAAAATTTATACTGCAGTTTCACAAAATTGAAAATATTTCAAAAACGGTAAGGTTTAAGTGTAATAAACCTTAATCAAATTTACCTTTATTTTAATCGTAGAAACTAAAAATGTAATAATATACAGAGTGTTCCATTTAAAAAAATAAAACTTTGATATTTTTTATTTATTTGGGACACTCCGTATCTTGTAAAAATATTTTTAAATTATAGCTCTAATAGTCTTTCAACGAACCCAAAACTTACAATTTGTAAAAATCTAATCGTTTAGCTACAATATTCCGTGTCGTATGTGGTGAACAACCCTGTATATGAGGGTTGTCGAAAAATGCAAAATTTTCAAATTTGTCCGGTATTTCAGGAAGTAAGAGGGCTAGGACAAATCTGTGTGTAGAATCTTTAGTTTCATAAATGATCTTCCATGCAAGCTATAAATTATCGAAAACCTGAAATCTAAGTCCCGTGCAGTTTTTCACGTTGCTGAGATTTATAATTTTCGAAATATGACTCATACTTATGCTTTTTTAAATGGGGCATTTCACACACAATGCGACAAATTTCAAATATTCAAACCCTTATAACTTTTGTCAGGAAAGTGTGCAAAATTCGAAAATAGCTGTGCAAAATTAACCGATTCGTTTGATATACACAAAATTCAATTTCGAGACAGATGGGGGGAAATTGCAAATTTTCAAGCCTTCATAACTTTAATCAGGATAGTGTGCAAAATTCAAAAACAGGTGTGCAAAATTGTGCAAAATTAGCCGATTCGTTTGATATAAACAAAATTCAATTTAGTCACAGATGGGGGGAAATTTCAAATTCTCAATCCCTTTTAACTTTCGTCAGGTGGGTGTGCAAAATTTAAAAATAGGTGTGCAAAATTGTGCAAAATTAGCCGAATCGGTGTACATAGGAATAAATAAATTTCGTAACAAATGGGAGGGGGGAACGGTCAAGTTTGCCCGCCGTTTAAAAAACTGCTCTGGTTTCTCTTATGTAAGTGTGCAAAATATCATTTATGGTGTGCAAAATTGTGCAAAATAGTGGTATATTTATTTTTGAATTTCCTCTAATACGGGGGGCAAACTTGACCTACCTTTGAAAAAGCTAGCTGTGAGAGCGCTGAAGTGATGATTACTAAATCTCTCTTAAGATGGACTGGTCATGTATGTAGGATGTAGGATGCAAGAGTTTTCGCCTACCAAAATATTTTATTTACGGTAAGCTTGCTGACGGTAAAAGGAAACCGGGGGGGGTAACTCAAAAGGTACAGGGATATTTTGTATGAAAACTTAAAGGGGATAAGCATGCAGAATCATTGGAAGGAAGAAGCGCACGATAGAACGCAATGGAGAAGAATTGTAAACTCAGTTAACAACGACAACCAAAAAGTGAAGAGGCGACATTAGTTTGCTGTGCGGAAGAGAGATAACATCACGTATCGGGCTTTTCAGTCGCAGAAAAACTCATGAAAGAAAACGCCTTGCGTAGCCATCTTCAGATGCGTGTCAAATACTCGTCAGCATACAATTCAGTAATGGCAGTAAGTAAGTAAATTCTTATTGACGGATTTTTACAAAAATAAAAGATAAATATACAATAAACTTAAAAATAATGAAAAACTCAATAAACAACAGTAGCGGAACAGCACAACAAAAACTAAACTAAATTAAAATTAAATTAACGGGTAAAATTGATGGCTGTTGTCAATCGAGTTCAGTTTTTATGAAAAAAAACTGCCTTTCGCATGAATTCGGCACTCATTTGAGTATGTTTCCACAACGTATTAGAGTAGTTAGGTGATTGTTCATTTTTATGTTATTACTCAAAATCTCTGTTGTATTTCATGGTTGTTGCCTATAAAAGGTAGAGGGAATTATGGCATCTTAATTCCCGTTAATAATGTCCCAAGAAAGTTATGACTCTATTTTTATTTTGGTTAGCGTAACCAAGACGATAATATAAGCTTATATTCTTTATTCAGTAAGAAATAAAGTAAGCTATTTTTATTTAAAATGTTTCCATAAGTGCTTCAAATATTTCAGAACACAAATTATTTTTATCTATTTCCTTTACAATAAAATTCAATTATTATGTTTCTAGTTTAATACCTACATTTTTTTGTGAAATTTGACTTTAACGTTCATTATATAAAACAAAACACTATACAATATGACTAATATCAATGGAATTCGTAACCACATAGATAAAAATATTATCCATCGTAATAAGAGTATTAAGATTAAGTAATAAATTAATTTTAATAGACATACTGCGCACGATTTAACTTTTTTCCTCATTTTATATATTTTTAATTCGTTATTTAAAAAATTGAAAATAGTGTTTTACTTTTAATGATATAATTTACAATTAGGTATAAAAGGTACAATATACAACAATATAATATACAGGAGGTCCGAATTGTCTAAGGGAAACTTCGGCCAGCGTATTCTGCAAAATAAGTATAAAATATTTCTTATAAATTTATTTCCTAAAATGCTTAATTACGGAGATACAGGGTGTAAAAGTTTTATTTTTATTTCGGGTCTTTCCAAATAATTTCTGAACTAACGTCAATATTTGGATGAAAATTAGTGTCTGGATAATTCTTGATATGGGAAATTTGATTTCGATGTCAATGTGACTCATACTTGATCAGTAATAACTTTCGTCAGTACCTGAATAAAACTATTGAGTGGAAAAATATACATTTCCATATTTTTTTACGCAAAAAAATGTACCTTGGTAAAAATCGCTACGAGAAACAAGATTTTTCAAAATATTTGGAGTGGAAATAATCAATACATGTCATTATTGACAAAAAATAATCATGTTAACTAAACAGTCGAATAACTATAATTCGACTGAACTGATAAATTTGGAAACGTTTTGTTGTTTGAAGCAAATCTTGAATTTTTCTAGAAAGAGATTCAATAAAGTAGTTTCTGTTGAATCTTTGACACAAAATTATTTCAAATTTATTATTTCAACATGTATCATTTTTGTCAACTATGGCCTATCTATTGACACAACCATTACTCGTAGCTATTTTTACCAAGAGACCTTTTTTCCGTAGAAAATGACGTAAATGTATATATTTTTACTCAGTACTGTAATGCAGGTATAGACGAAAAGTTATTACTCTTTAAAACCGCTAAAAATATGTAAGTGTAATAAACCCTACAAGTCTTACTGATATCGAAATCGAATTTATCATTCCAAGAAACATCCAGACACCAATTTTCACTCTAATATCAGCATTAGCCTCGGCATTAGCTCAAAAATTATTTGGAAAAAATCGAAATTAAAATGAAACTTCTACACCCTATATCTCCCAAATGAAGTATTTTACGACATAAATTTATACGAACTTTTTTACTTATATTTACCTGCAGATTATACTGCCAAAGTTTCCCGCATACAATTCGGACCACCCTGTATAACGTATACAACGAGAAAATATCTATGGCTTGAGCTGTTTAATGATCCAGGGCATATAAGTCGACACTTTGGTATACACTCCGGGCCAGTTTTCCATTCCGCAGGGTGATGGCCCGAAAGAGACGACGCCTACGGAGTACCAGTTGATTTCGGAACCATCGTACACATAGTTCATCAAGGGACCACCACTGTCACCACGACATGAATCTCTGCCTTTGGCACCTCCGGCACATATTTGGTATCTGCTGTCCAACTTTACTCTGGCTTGGGTGTAAGTTGAAGTGCATACGTCATCACTTTTTACTGGTACCTGTAATTAAAAATCAAGGTTTCTTATAGAGCCATGTTCGGTACAAAGTTAAGACTAAAAATCAAGTCTTTCATAAATACATCAAGATTGGATATTATTTCATGTTAGATGGAGAATTAAAAAATTAACATTTTTTGTATTTAAAGCATTTTAAATATTTCAGCGGATTCATTTAAAAAATCATCCCGATCCACTCACACATTTTGAGCCACCCTGTAGAAGGTAAAATATTTTCCGGAAATACAACTAATACATACTTTAGATTTGCACTTTGCACTTATACAAAATTCCTAAGTTTTTTATTACTGTTGCCGAACCCGTAGAAAACAGTTGGAATTACTTTGAATCGTGGCAACCCCTATTTGCAGCAACGTTGATTCACACCTAAAAAGTGTATTCCCCTATTCATAAATAATATGTAAAAATTAGATTTTGATTAACTGTGTGGTGGGCATAATAATTTTGCAGCCGAATCTTACACTATTATAAATACAGGGTGGTGATGATACAGGGGTATGAGTTTTAACTAAGTGCAAATATTTTTAGTGGTAGTATACCGGGTGCGTCTCAAAAGTGATTCACCCCTATAACATTTTTATTTTTTTAGATGAAAAAACGAGATTTGGTATGTTAGTGTATGACATAAATTAGGAGTGATTGAGGTATTCAGTTGTTTTCGGTCACTTCCTGTTTCACCCGAAATCATCACAACTTTTGATTTTTAAATGGCACCCTCGGCCTTTTTTTACTTTATTTGATAGAAATCAACACGCGAAATAGAATGACATATCATATGTCAACTTTTGACATTTTCGCATATAGTTTATTTGAAATTATAACTTGCGGTTTGTAACAAAAATTTCACTCGACATATACCAAGTGTGTGGTATCAAATTATTCGTAAAAAAAAACGCTTTTTCCGAATATGCTAATGAGCCACACTTGTGTTCCATTTGAAAATATTGGGCATAAAATACGATTTGGGCATGTTTTAACTGGCCAGGACAAGACAGTAGAAACATTAGACGATCAAATCTATTTTTCCAAAGCTCCTTGACTATAAAAATTAGTGTTTTTAACATATTCATGGCACTCTAGATTCAAATTTAAAATATGATTTTTTATTAAGCGACAATGTCAAAAGTTGACATATGATATGTCATTCTATTCAGAATATCATTTTCTATCGAATAAAGTCAAAAAATACCGAGGGTGTCATTTAAAAATCAAAAGTTGTAGTCATTTCCGGTTAAACAGGAAGTGGCAAAAAACAATTGAATACGTCAATCAATATTAATTTATGTTGTTTGTTTTCTCGTTTTTCATCTAAAAAAATAAAAAAGTTATAGGGGTGGGCCACTTTTGTGACGCACCCGTATTTCGACCCCAGAAACACGATTATGAGGTTTTATACGATTTTTTTTTAAATTTGGAATTGTTAGAAAAAGCTTTTTGATTTTTTTAGTTAAATAACATAATTTCTTGATAATATGACAACATATGTAGTAGATTAAACTTACGAATTAATTTTAAGAAAACCCAGAAAAGTTCCAGTGGTTTTTACAAATTTAAGCAAAAAACATTTTTTGGAAATTTTCAATGTAAAATAACTCGGTTATTTTAGACGTATTTGAAAAACGGTAAAGAAAAAATATGTTTCTTTTATCGAGATCTACCAGCTCTGGAAAAATTTGCACTTAATTAAGACTCACCTTGTATATTGCGTTCCCAATAATTAAGTAATGAAAATATTAATTTTAAAAATATATGTATATCTTTGAGTATATGATGATATACTTTTTTTTATGACATAGATTTATTTTTTTTTCTCTGTGTACAGGCAGTCAGATCACCAGATCTGGCTTGTTACATAATATAACATAGCTCTAAGGACATACGTATGCAAAGCTAATACACGGTGCTAATGCAAGTCGACACGCTGTCTAATAAACAGGCTGTGATTTTATCACCGAATAACACTGAGCCGTACTACTATTTCATACTAGAAGTGAAGATAATAATGTATTATAAAATTTAATTGTTACTTTACCTCAAGCTTCAGTACTATGTTGCTCTCTGATCTGTTTTCAGTTTTTCCCCATCCAGCCACTGTCAAATTCTCGTTAATAAACGATTTTGACAGAAGGGTCGGCTTTCTAGGTAAACAAACTGCTTTCACGTAATCTAAGAAAATTATAAAACAATTATATTAACTTAATGTATAATAGCTTTTTATAGCAGTTTGTAATGAGTAGCAAAATTCCTAGCCAATCAGATTTCTATCAGTGCTACTACACTGATTGCCTTCTGAGGCCTCAATATACTAATTAAGTTGATAAACTTATAACATTTTTACCTGTAAATTTGACATCTCTAACTAATCTCAGTACAGCTATATCGTGATATTGGTTGGGATCATTCGGTAAATAATCCTCGTGAGCTATCCTATCTTCTATGGCTATATTTACGGCTGGTGGGGCACATATCTGTTTACTTCCACTAACTACCACGCAGTCTATATCTGTGTCAGTGTTGTATTCACCTAATCTTACACTTACACTAAAAAATATTCATTTTTTCTTCATAACAGAGTCTGTTTTAATGATACAGTACTTACACTTGCCAGCTTGGGGGCAAGTCTTTGCCTTTGAGACAATGAGCTGCTGTCAGAATGTATCTTTTGCTGATTAGAACACCTCCACAGTAAAATCCTTTTTGACCATTAGCTAAAAAATATATTTTTAAATTATATCTAGTTATAATGCAGATAGTGACAAAAAAAATCATAAATAATATTCTAAATAAGTATCTATAATCCGATACTCTTCAAATTTAAAATTAAGCCACTCTGTATGAAATGGATAATATATGCTAGTTGTAGATATAAATACTTCAAGTAATATCTGATTTAAGTTGTATCATCAATCAGTGAATTCTGAGTAAAATTATTATGATAGATAAGGTAGGAATGTAAAAAAAATAAAATTATGTAGGTACATACTATAAAAATTTACCTACTTACAGGTGTGTCCTGTTTATGCTAGATTATGAAATTCTCAATCAATTGTACTAATTTCCAGTATAAAAATAGACTGAAAACAAGTGTTTACACTCTGTTTCTGTTTAAAACAGTTTCTGTCGAGTCTTTGCGACAAAACATTTAAAATTTATTATTTCAGAAGAATAACTATCCAGCCAACATATAAAATTTTTGTCAATTATGGCATGCATTGACTATTTTGATTCCACTTATCTTGAAAACAATTCTTAGCGATTTTTACCGAGAGAACTTTTTAGCCGACCATACCAGCAGGTATGGTAGGCTATTAAGATCGGCAAAAAAAAATTTTTTTTTAATTTCACTCAAAATGTCTGTCCGTCTGTAACACGACAACTCAAAAAACGCTGAACCGATTTTAACCAAATTTGGCACAAAAATACTGTGGCACCCGAGAATCGGGCCATTAGTTTTTGGTGGGGATGGGGGGTTGGTGAGGGGGTATGGGAGGGGGTTAAAAATTTTAAAAAATCGTAACTCCAAAATTACAGTAGCTGGCGAAACGCCGGTTTTCAATTTAAGATTAGAAATAATATTTGCAACGAAATTTGTAATAACATCGAAATCAGTCAAAGTCGCAGTTTTTGAGATATTCCGTGTTTCCGTTGCCCGTTTTTGAGAAAATCCGTGTGGAGAACTCCCATCGGACGCGACCCCAGGTGGCGGATAGGGGAAATAACTGCGGACCAAAATTGGAAAAATTCCTTTACTTTGAAACTTAAAGAACCGCCTACCAACTTATTATTAACATATTTTAGTATGGGCGGCTATACGTGTCCCCCGGCGCCAATTTTTTTACGTAATAAATGAAGGAAATGTGTATTTTTTATCGGTGTATTTTTTCAGGATCGGTGTATCAATATTGTAGAGTTTTTTTTTCAAATTAAATCAAAATTCCTTACGTTTTAAATATTCTATAAGGGCCATCCATGGATATTCACCAAGCTGAGTCTTCTCACCTCCGTAAATTCTGTCTTGCGATCCGAGTCCGCAGGTCTCAGTTCCAGGAAGAAGATCAGTTTCAAGTGGATCACCTAAAATGACGTTGTTTAGATTATTTTTAATTTCAAAAACGATATTAATCGAATCGAGATATAGACTAAACAATTTATTTTATTTCTCAAAACGATACTAAACAAATTACGAAGTAATTCACAAGTCAAGTATCCATTCTTCTAAAAATGTTCTAATAAAAATGTAATACTAATAAATAGGGGTACACAAATATAAGATTTTCCAACATTCAAAAGACACAGAGCACAACATACAGGGTGAAGCCTCTCATACGCGACGCCGAGGTACCTAGGAGAACGATAGTTTATATCAAAAAAGAATTTTGGGAGCATATGTAGGTTAATTAAAAGCATTTTATAAAAATTTATAGAGTTTTGCGATCATTTTCTTGATTTACTTCATTTTCAGATTCTATGAAAAAAATAAGGATGAGTTTTCTTAAAGAGGCATGTGTCTAAAATGTAAGGATTTTGACATATTTCACATTTTGTGAAAATGAAGAGTAAATTTTAAATTTCAATAATAACTACCTAAATTTTAATTTACCCTGAATAGCCTGATATTTAATTACAATAACCATTATATGTTAAACCAAATTAAAATTTGACCTGAAATACAGGGTGAGACAAAATTAATATGAAACATTAGTCAATTTTAAAAGAAATAAGTTACTCTTTTATTTTAAATGGAAGATCCAGTATATTATTCCGGGGTTCAATGGGGAATTCATATATCTTCAAAAAATATTTTGCAGCCTAGGGAACTTTAATAATAATTAAAGTTGCCTATCTCTCAGACAAAGATTTTCCTAGATATTTTAATTTTGATGATTTTGTGTCAATAGATCTTTATTTGAAAAATTCTAGGTGGCTGTAATAAACCTTTTGTTAATTTAACAAGAATTAAATGATTTTGATGTAAAATATTCAATAAAAAATAGGAAGATACACGTTTAAAACATATTTTAATTATTATTAATTTTTTAATTGATAATATACTGAGTTTACCGAATGGTAAAGCGAATAGCGAAACGCGCGTCCAGTGTAAAAGTAAAAGTGTTTTGGTGTATTGTGGTGATTTACTGTTTTTATTTTGCTTTAACATATCCACATAAAAAAACCGGACTAAATAAAATCAGAAGCATTTAAGTATTCTATTAATTGGTGAATGCACATTGCGTTAATTCATGTTCACATCATTTTCCGTTTGGCAAAAATGTGTGACAAGCACAGATTAGGTATACTATATGTATACAGATAAAAATTTTATCCCTAATTCGTTGTACGAAAATTGATTTTAATGACGATGAGCAAACGAGTAAAATTTCCTGTGCGCAAAAATAAACTCGCGTAAAGTAACAATTATTTAACAAATTATATAGCTCAAGCAAAATACCGTCAGATTGGCTTAAATCAACATTCGTAACCCTGCCAAAGAAACCCTACGCCTCACAATGTGATGACTATCGGATGATAAGTCTTATGTCCCATGTCCTCAAAACCTTTCTTAGAATCATCCACACTCGAATCTACAAGAAGTGCGAAAATCAGATGGACAACACCCAGTTTGGCTTCAGAAACGGACTCGGAACGCGTGAAGCACTCTTCTCCCTAAATGTAATGACACAGAGGTGTAGAGACATGAATGTGAATGTATTTGTATGCTTCATAGACTATCGTAAGGCGTTCGACTATGTTAATCATCAGAAGATGATCAAAATTCTAAGAACAACCGGAGTTGACGAACATGACCTACGTTTCATATCAGAACTTTATTGGCATGAAACGGCGGTAGTTGAGATGAAGCAGTCAACATCGGAAGATATACAAATCAGACGGCAGGGTTGCGTCTTGTCTCCGCTCCTGTTTAACCTGTACTCGGAGACTATATTTAGAGAAGCACTGGATCGAATCCAGGGCGGAATCAAGTTCATTGAAATCCCAATAAACAATATCAGATATGCCGATGATACGGTTATAATAGCCAACGATATACAAGAACTGCAAAGCATTATAGATTCCGTAGTCCACTATAGTGAGATGTTTGGACTGCATCTCAATGTCTCCAAGACCAAACTATTGGTCTTTTCTAAGACTCCAATAAATGCACACCTGCGTGTCAAGGGACAAACAATCGAACCAAAGTGACCTCAATAAAGTATTTAGGAGCTAACATCAATAGTCAGTGCGATCCGAAAAGAGAAATATTTTCATTGAGCAAGCGAGAAAAATCTTCGTGAGAATGAAATCATTTTTTACAAGAAGACACCTCAGTGCGGATCTCAGAACTCGAATGGCCAGATGCTACGTCTTCTCTGTGTTACTCTATGGATGTGAGAGCTGGACACTGGATTCACAGACCGAGAAGAGAATAGAAGCCTTCGAAATGTATATATACAGACGGATGCTGCGAATCTCATGGGTACAAAGGATCACCAACAATGAAGTACTCCAGCGCATGCAGAAACAAAAAGAGATACTGAACACCATCAAGGAAAGAAAAATGCAATACCTGGGTCATGTGATGAGAGGTGGTAGATACGAAATACTGCGCCTCATAATAGAGGGCAAAGTGCAAGGGAAAATATCAGTAGGAAGACGCCAGAACTCATGGCTAAAAGATTTGAGGAGATGGTTTGAACGCTCGTCTGCGGAAATCTTCCGGGCTGCAGTTTCCAGAGCCACAATTGCCATTTGGATCGCCAACCTTCGGCAGGAGAGGGCGTGATAAGAAGAAGAAAGTAACAATAAACAGCGTAATAGAGAGATATCGGTAAACCGAATAGCGTGCATGGACGTTAATAAGGCCAGGTGTTATTTCCTTTACGTGAGGTGGTATTAACTCTCTTCATTTATAGTTATCGGATCGGAAAGAATTCTGTTCGCGTCGCGTCCGCTATTTAAACTTAACCTAACTTTGAATTTAAAACTTTGAAATTGTTTTGTTTACTAGGTATTTTAAAACTACAGGGCTAAAGTGCTTATTTCCAGTGCTTTATTGTTCAGGGTCTGCAAGGGATTTAGGGCAACAAGTTCTCTTAGAAGGGCTAAGTCGTCATCTGCTGTAAACCTAAGCCTCTTTATAGGTTCTTTAATATTGAAAGAGGTGGAATCCATATTTTGAGCCATATTTATTTAATTAAAACTAATCCCAGCTACTTAAATATCAAATTATCTAATAAAACTAAAGTAATAATTCAAAACAATTCAAACATAACCTAAAATAAAAGATCTCGCCGGCCGGCCCCGGTTGTCAAATACCCGCACATGCCCATTTAAGCAATTTTTAAACGTTATTTAGAAATAGCGCTTGGTGTAATTCAAGAATAGTTAACCTTACCGTTCTTGGGTGTAATCTTTGGTGTAATTGATCCGCAAATTGCGTCAGGCGGTAACGTTATTAGCGGGCGTTGCGTTAAAAATTGTCTCGCGCATATCGTAACCATGGTAAGGTACGCGTAAATACTGCATGACGCTATTCGGTTTTCCGATATCTCTCTAATAACTGTGCCGGTCAGGCGCTGTGCACTAGTAACCTAACTAGTGCCCGATTCGGAAAATTGGAACCACGAAAAATAATAAAGAAAAAACAAAGTTTATAATCTGTATAATCTGTGTGGCAGGTTTGTGCAAATCGCACAAAGCTGTCCCACTCCTATCTTCACTAATAACGGAGATACCGTATGGTTTCAACCAAAATGGGACTGTTAAGCTTATCGCGCATTGAGGCTTGTCGCTCAGGCTTGTCGCGCACTTAGCCAAACTGAAACGAAACGAACAAAATGGAAAAAATTTCGTCCGAAATAAAAGTGACAAAAGCATACAGATCAGGCAAGGAGCGCACACTATGCCGTACGGAAACAGTACGGCATAGTATTGCGCTCCTTAAATGAATTGTATGCTTTTATTTCGGTCGGAATTTCTTCCGTTCTGCTCGTTTCGTTTCGTTTCGGCTAAGTGCGCGACAAGCTTTAGTGTAGTTTTTTTTTGCTATAATCACTGGTCGTCTGAGCCCAGCTTAAGAGGCATTTTTATTCCAATAAATATTGATCTACCTATACAGGGTGTTTCAAGAAACATGTGCCATCTCTCGTGGGGGATTCCTCACGTAAACATAAGATTTATTTTTCATATAAACATAGGTCCGATTCTGCTTTGTTTCGTAGCTACAGGGTGTGAAATTCTTATTATTTTTTCGATTTATTATAATTTTCTTCCAAGTACTTTTAGCGTTTCGAATGAAATATGAGGGTAAAAGTTACTATAAATGTGTATATTTTAAAGCTAAAAAAGTGTCGACATATTCACTAGGGACGTGCATATGGGTTATCACTGGAATGTTTTTCTAAAAGAAGCATGTACGTCACTGACATTTTTTCTCTTGTTAGCGAAACAGTGTAAAAGCATTTAATCGGCAGTTTAATGCCGATTAAAAGTTGTCTCTTGACATTTTGTCGATTTCGGCCTCCTTGATGTAGTCCGGTTTGAATTTGTATTCCGTTTGCAGATTTGTGATACAATATTGGGCGATACTTTAAAATTTTCATAATACCACACAGATTCCGAGAATCGATGGGCCCTCTCTCGCAAATGCGTCTGAGGGAAGACAGAACCCCCTTATATTCACCCCCTTATAAGATAATGTAAATTCGCTTAATAAAATGTATTGAATATATTTAAATTTTAACAACGAGTATTTTTTAATAAAAAAATTGTTTTTGGAAGTTGTAAATACTTCCAATTGTTCCACCCCTAGGTTTTTGGGGGTTGAAAATATACGATTACGCCATATAGTCAATGCCTAACCTATAAATGTTAGTTTTGTTTTAAATAGTAATAAGTATAAAAAAACCCTCTTGACTATATAAGTGTTGATGTGTATAGAAACACTGATGAATGTTTATATAGATGTTCATTAATATTTATATATCAAATAAAATAGAGATAGAGAAACGGTATATAAATGTTTGTTAAATGAGGCATTTTTGTAGCAAGAGGGAGAGGGCAAAGAGGGGCGGAGTCTCTAAATGTTACAATTTTATCCAACAGTATAACACTCGTCATCCGATGAGTCTTCCGAATACAAGCTGGTTTCCTCTACAAAACTGACATTTGCACAAGAATCAACGTTTCCTTCAGATTCACACATCTCTGTGCATACCACACTTAAAGTGGCACATTTGCAGCGTTGGTTGGGAGCAATTAGTTTTGGAACATGAGCATTTTACTAAATTTAGCACTTCATCAGGGGCGCATGGAAGATCACATATTATGGGTTCAAATTCATCACCATTAACCAATTTGCACCCATATTCCGCTGCTGGTGGTAAACAAGAAGGGGGAAGTATGTCTCTATACCATTCCATGCATTGATAATGACATTGGTTGGTGGCATATTATCGCTGGAACTTTGTTTTTGGCTAAAGATCCACCATCTCAGGTCGGATAACTTGCTAAAGCTTTTCTTTGTTGGTGAATACACACTGCAAATAAAAGATTCGATTTCTTCAATAACAGATTCAGCTAATATTTCATTTTTCCCAAGAGCAGCTAACGCCCGAAGTGTAGATGGGGATGCTGTTAGAAACTTTTTCCAAAAGCCAATTTTTGATTTACCTTTGAAGGCACCTGTAACGTCAGCTCCTGACAATGCGTGAAGTCCTGGAAGAGCTTCTACCTTTAACTCTCCCAACGAATCCTAAATTGGTCGTAAACGTATCTCCTGATTACTTGATCCGATGCTTACAAAGTTTGTGTCTTCTGGAAACAAAGGAAAACGTCTCAAAGCAAGTAACAAAACGTCAGTATCTGATGAAAATATTCTTATCTTTCTTATTGACTCCTCTCTTAGATGTATGTACAGAATGAAGTATTAATTTTGGATCAGCTTCTTCGTGTGAACTCAAGTCCATCATATTGTCACAAGCAGTTGTAGCCAATATGAAATTTTCCAAGGAACATAACACTTTGCGATTAGGTTTATTTCCCAGTGATATTAGATGTTTTGAGAAATATTGTTTAATTTCCCCTTTCGTCGATGCATGAGAGAGCAGCTTTTTTGATTTGTGTTTTTAAGACTAGTTTTATCACTAACTATATATTGTATAGGGTCTGCTCCTTTTTGCCTTCTGACCCTTTTCATTGATTTCAAAGAGTAGTGTTTATACGAGTCAAAATCAACGTGAATTTCAGAATATGTAGAATATTATTTTAAAATCTTGGTTAGGTGAAACTGATTTGACAAATCAGAAAAGTATTCCACATTTTTAAACGATAACATTTGCACTTCTGCCATACCATCGACAACTGCTACACTATATGGCTGTTTTAAGATATCTACATCCACGTCACTAACTTTGGAATCATGTTCTTACACTTTATTTAAACAATGAAGTTGTGCTTAATTTAGTTATTTACTAAAATTATTTATTTATTAAAACATAAAAAAAACTTTTTTACATTTTTTTTTTTTTTTTTAAATTATTTATTAACATGTCTTCTCATTTAATATGTTTAGTGCAAATTTTAATTTAGATTTATTTTAAAATTTGAAACATGAAAAGAATATAGTACTTTAAGTAACACACATACATTAAAAGTTACCCTTTTACGTCTCAAGGGTCAACTTGTCACTTTTTAAACCATATTTTCTGTTATCTTAAATCAAAAAAAGAGTTTTTAAAATTATGCAAAAGTTTGTTTCCATAATTTCATTTAATTTAATTTTTGTTCCTTTGGGTGTTAGAGGGGTATTAGAGGGGTAAAATATACCCCTCTGCCAAATTTGCTAGAGAGGGCCCATCAATATTCATATTCTACAAGGTTTTCTGAAAATTTTAAGGTATGGCAACAATTATTGTATCAGAAATTGCACACGGGATCCCATATTTGACAAATTCAAACCGGACTAATTGAATAACGCAGTTTATTAATTTGCCTGATCTAGTTAGATAGGCAACCAAAAAAAATTTGATATGCATTAACTGCGAAAGTTTTAAAATAAGTAAAATAAAAAAAAAAAAAAAAAGAATTATGAAAAGTCCTAGTAAACATGGGTATGGAAATGCATAGTTTTAGAGTTACAGGATGTTAAAAATTTTTAAAATCAGGTTTTTTGTAATTATCTTAAATATCAGTATTTATATTTTTTATTTCAAATTGCTGTAGGTTGGACTAATAGTAATAATAGCTAATGGCAATAATATTTAATAATAAATTAGGTAAAAGTATATAATTTATTAATTTTATTTTTATTTTAATTTTATTAATTGTGATATTGTGGTTAAGAAATTTGCAATCAAGGAGGCTGAATTCGACAAAATATCAAGAGATAACTTTTAATTGGCAAATTAACGGGCCTACCACAATTTTCTGTATGAAAAGAAAAAAAACAAAAAAAAAAAAATGTTTTTATTTTGAAAAATATCTAATGATAATATATGCACGTCCCTGAATTTATCGACACTTTTTTTAGCATTAAAATATGTCGCAACTATAGTAATCTTTTACCCCTCAAAATTTCATTCAAATTTTTTTTTTTTTTTTTTAAACAATTATAATAAATCGAAAGATTATTAAAAATTAACAACCCTCGTAGCTACGGAACAAAGCCATAATCGGACCTATGTTGATATGAAAAATAAATCTTATTTTTACATGAAGAATCACAACCCCCTGTAAAAAAAATCCACACAATCCAAACACCCTGTATGAAAACTCATTAAAACGTCGAATTTTGTCCCAAACGTGAATATTTAATTGGGTAAAGATCTAATCATAGAAAGTTTTTTTCGTCACACTTACTTTACTAATCATCTTTTAATTAAAAATCAATATGTCCTTAAATAAAAATAAATTGATTTCCGTAAAATATACACACCTCCAGTACTAGCAGGTGTCGTACTGGGTACGGGTGCGGGATTATCGTTCAGTGGACAGCACACTTTGGGCAAAGTACCATCGAATCCGCAATGAGATCTCCTAAGTAAATCAGTACTGGCTGAACTGAGAGGCTTGTTTTTAAGTAATTGGAACAATGGCTGACACGAAGTTATGGTTAAGCATTCTCCCTGTTGCCTATACGGTGTTTGACAAAAATCACCAATTTCTGTAACAAAAAAATGCCAATTTTAATAAAAATATCACTTCTATTTGTTCTATACTAATTTTGTGAATTTAATAATTTTAGTAATTTTTAGATTTGTCAACACTTCTAGGACATGGGACATAAAATACATTGGAATGGGCAACTTTACAATGAAACCCAAATAAGATGTAGGCAGAAATACATCTGAGATAATATCTTTCTGGCAAATCTAAATTTTTTATTGTATCGGCTAAGAGTCCCAACCATTATGGTACAAACAGAAAAGTTTCAAACTTAACGCAAGTTTTATATAAATCTTAACTATAATTATCCGTTCTTAGAATATCTTGATACTATCTTATATATATGATATTATCTTGAAAACAACAATATTATAGTTAACGATAATTTATTAAACTAATTTTTTTTTTTTTTTTTTTTTTTTTTTTATATAACTTTTAACTTTACTTGATTCACTTACTAGTACATAAAGAAAGTAGTATATACACTCTTGAAGCTAAGACTGATGAGAAATGTGAGTGAATAAGTGTTGAATATTTTGTTTGTATTATTGGCCTAATATGTTTTAGTAAAATACATATTACAACAGGATAAATAATTTATTAAAAATTGTATAAAAAATAAAAATGTTAGTTTATGTTACTTTAATATGGATATTTACATTCTCAGTTTCCAGAAAGATTATATCTGACTATCTGAGTCACTTAATATGTACATAATTTTTAATAATATAAGCAGGTAATTGTTAGGTACAATCAAGAAATTATTAAACAATATTTTCAATACCTCGGTAATAAAACAAAAATTTCAGGTGTCGTATATTAAAAGTGTTTAAAATTGGTAATTCCCTGTTATGCTAGAGATTCTTATTTTTTCGCATTTTCAATGGGATATCCCCATAAAAAGTACTAATGATCTTTAATGATGCTTTAAAAATAAATTATCCATATATGAGTAGGTATGTATACAGGGTCAGAAATGTATTTCGGAAACTTCAGCGCATATTCTGCAGATAAAACATGTAAAAAAGTTTCTATAATGTGTCCTAAAATGCTTAATTTCGGAAATACAAGGTGTAAAAGTTTCATTTTATTTCGAGCAATACGTAATA